GCTAATACGAGATAAAGTGGGATTTGAATCAGGCAACAGTGTGCCCCGAGAACCCACTCATTTCACCATGGCATTATTCGTGTTGGTTTGCGTGATGTGCTTATTGACTTACAAGAAGGAATATCAGTGTTTCAACCCCTGCCTTCCGATTTAGGTCTATTCTTCAGCAATAGCCTTCTTTTAAACTGAAATACACCTTTACAGTTAATGGGGCAAAGCCAGGAAAATTAGAGCAGGTTGGGGACCATTCTTGGGCAAGAAAGACCAGCTCTTGGACGAGAAATCAGTGCAGGAAGGACTTTGGTTCAGGCATAGCATATCCCATGATCTGAATGTTATACATACATCGAAATCCCAGGGGCCCTTCTGAAAGGACCAGACGCTCGCTAAAGAGATCTCCATGGAAATGAGTCTATCTGTTCCAGAAAAACCTCAAAACAACAAATCCTTTAATTGTTTATGGGACACCTGGGGGGCTCAGTCAGTTAAGCTTCTGACTCTTGATTTCAGCTCAGGTCATGATCTCACAGTTTGTGAGCTCGAGCCCCACGTCGGTCTCTGTGCTGACAGCACAGTGCCTGCTTGGGATTCTTTGTCTCTTTCTCTCTGCCCCTCCCCTGCTCTCTCTCTCTCTCTCTCTCTCTCTCAAAAAGAAATAAATAAAACAATAAAAAAAATAAATTGTTTATTTATAAGCCCTTGAGTTTTTCCTTGGTAATCCCTGAGCTGTACTGTTTCATGAGTCCTCGTAATACATGGTAAGAAAGCTCTGTAGTTACTAGTAATTTCTAAAAGCCACTTGATTACCAGTCCTTTGCCTCTTGTCTCCCAGCCTTGACTCTGTCACTTCTGTTTAACCCTCCTTGGTATTTAAATAGCTAATCTGGTGCTGGTTGCCGAGTTAACAATGTGCAAACCTCTAAAGCAACTTCACCTCGACCTTCACGATTCTGTTTATTTGGTGTTTCCTTTTGTGTTTCTGTTCATGAGCTGACTTGGCCTTTGCTAATGATTAAAAGTATTCGCTGAAGTATTCGCCAAAGCCAGTAGATAAGAATTTCTGCAAACAGTGTGTCTTGTGACATTAGCTTGTCCCCTGAAGTACAAAACCAACTGAGAAAAGTAGTTTTGAAAACAGGTTCGGGATGATACGTATGTATTTGAAAGCTTGCATGTATTCGCCCGCTCAGGATTTATTGAGTTTCTAGTATGCGCCCAGTTTTGTTCTAGGCAGTGACAAACAAAACCTTTGGCTTCATGGGACCACCATCCTAGTGGGGGATGGGGGAGGAGGGGGGGGAGATAGACAATAAGGAAGTAAAACACATTGTATGTCATACGGAGACAACTGTTATGGGGGAAAAATAAGGCAGAAAAGGCTGACAGTGAGTAGGGATTGTGATTTAGTTATTCTTTTTTTTTATTTTTTATTTTGAGACAGAGAGAGAGGAGGAGGAGGAGGAGGGGCAGAGAGAGGGGAAGAAAGAATGCTAAGCAGGACCCAGACTGTCAGCATGCAGCCTGACATGGGGCTCGACCCCACAAACCATGAGATCATGACTTGAGCGGAAACCAAGAATCAGACGCTTAACTGGCTGAGCCACCCAGGTGCCCAGGAATTGTGTTCTAAAATAGGGTGTTTATCCACGTTTACTGCAGCATTACTCACAACAGTCAAGATATAGAAACATCTTCAATATCCTTTGATGGATGAATGGATAAAAAAAATGTGGTATATGCACACAATGGAATATTATTTGGTTTTTAAACAGAAGGGAAACCTGCCATTTGTGACAGGGACAAATCTAGATGGCATTCTGGTAAGTGAAATAAGCCACATGCAGAAAAGACAAATACCGCACGATCTCACTTATATGTGGAATCTAAATAGTCAAGTTCATCTAAACAGAGAGTAGAATAGCGGTTAGCAAAGGCTGGGGGAGGGGAAAAGAGGGAGGTGTGGGTCAAGGGTACAAAGTTTCAGTGATGCAGGATGAATACTGGAGATCTAATGTATCACATGTGACTATAGTTAACGATATGGTTTTGTATATTGCTAAGAGGGCAGATCTTAAGTGTTAGCACCACACACACACACACACACACACACACACACACACACATAGGGTGCTTAGAGAAAAGAGCTTATGAAAAAAACCTAAACAAGGTAAGGGATGAGCTACAAGGATATAGGGAGCATCCAAGGATGTAGGGAGCATCCGGAATGCCTAGCAAATTCTGGCAACAGCAGGAAGCCAGTGAGGACAGAAAGAGACTGGGACGCCTGATTTTATAGGAGCCATACTTGATGTGTAGGGACTTGACTTTCTCTTGGTGTGAGACAGGAAGGCTTTGAAAGATTTCAAGCATACGAGGTGACTGGTGGACTCATGATTTCAATGGGAGTCATCTGATTGTGCGGTAGAGAACAGACTGATGAAAAGCAAGGGTAAACCAGGGGACCAGCTGGGAGGTAATGATGGGTTGGCCCAGTGGGGTAGCAGTTGGGGGTAGAGAGAAGAGTTTGGATTCTGGATATGTGTCATTTATTTATTTTTTAAAATGTTTACTTATTATTTTGAGAGAGAGAGAGAGAGCGAGCGAGCAGGGGAGAGGCAAAGAGAGGGAGAGAGAGGGTCTCAAGCAGGCTCTGCACTGTCAGCTCAGAGCCAGATGTGGGGCTTGAACTCACAAACCACAAGATCACGATCTGAGCTGAAATCAAGAGTTGGATGCTCAACTGACTGAGCCACCCAGGCGCACCCTGGATATGTTTTAAAAAGTGGACAATAGAATTTATTGGCAGGTTGGATGGGGGGTGTGAGAGAAAGGAGTTAAGGTTTTCAGTATGTGCACACACGAGTGTAAAGTCTATATAAAGCCGAACATTATCCGAAAGTGTCTGGCTTAACTGCTTACTTATTTTTGCTCTAGCCCAAAGCCCCATGATGGAAGGCACACAGTTCTCTCATTGCTGTGTGCCTAGAGTCTAGAACAGCCTCTCTTTCTCAGCACAGAGCCCTACGTGGGGCTCGAACTCACGGACTGAGAGATCATGACCTGAGCCGAAGTCAGATGTTTAACCTACTGAGCCAACCAGGCGCCCCGAAGAAAGTGTTTATTGTAAGTAATGGGATTTCAGAAAAATTGTAAAGAGTTCTGTTATTTTCTGTCTTCTCTATTTTCAGCTTTGAGTCTGTATGCATGTAAAAATAATGCATTTGCTGAATTATAGAAAATAAAAGAACTTTGCAGAATTATGTGATAAAAACATTTAAAAATTGTTAAGACTATTATTAAAAAGTGAAAGCTTCCACATTGTACAGAAGGCAAGCTGTTATTTTTTTTTAATTACATTTTTTTAATGTTTATTTATTTTTGAGACAGAGAGAGACAGAGCATGAATGGGGGAGGGTCAGAGAGAGAGGGAGACACAGAATCGGAAGCAGGCTCCAGGCTCTGAGCTATCAGCACAGAGCCCGACACAGGGCTCAAACTCACAGACCGTGAGATCATGACCTGAGCTAAAGTCGGAAGCTCAACCGACTGAGCCACCCAGGCGCCCCAGCAAGGTGTTATTTTGAAAGCCAATGTCAGTGTAAGTCAACGAATCCAAACACTATAAAAAATTAAATCCTAATCCTATAGAATAAAATGACCTTGTTTGAGATGTAGGGTCCGTTGCGAGGACAGAATAGACTTTATGAATGCTGTTTCTCTACAAGGACACTCCTGGGGACCAGCTCTCAGCCAGCCAGTCAACTGTACTGAGTTCCCATTAATCATCTCTAGGCTTGATTCAAAAGGAGGTTTTCAAGAGATGCCAACCTTCCTATAATCAGGACTTCTGTTTTCTGGAACACACCAGGGCTCACGGGGTTTCCGTAAAGGGACTTCAGTCCTGTGCTGTGTTTGCTGTTCGGGGCTGACTGTGCTGGCTTTTCTCCTTCCTTAAGCAATGAGGCTAATGGCTGTCTCCCGGCCTTGTGAGTGCAGCAGGATTCCTTTCTCTAGGTGATGGGAGCTTTTGCAGAGCATGGCCTGTGTCTGACATGTCTGGCTAGCTCTCATGTGTGAGTGTGGGGCTTTGAGTAGATGTGCCGTGCTTTGTGGTGATGAAGCTTCCGGTCCCTTCCTTTCTGGATAGGGCACAACCTTGGAGAAAGGTGGCATGAATCTGGGTGACACTGGGCTCCTGTCTTGTCACCTGTCAGTGGGTATTAGACGGAGACATCCCGGTGATTAGCCAAATGTGTGACTCCAAGCCTTACCAAAGATCCCCTCTGGTCTTTTAGTGATAACAGAGCCCTCTATAGACGTGACAGACTAACGTGTCTCAGGACAGTGTCAAAGCCATTAAGAGCCCTATGACTCAAATCAGTCTTGAGTTGGGCTCCCTGCTTCACCGCACTTAGACTGGGCCATCCCAGGCCATCCCGGGCCATCCTGGGCCATCCTGGGCCATCCCGGGCAACAGCCTCCTCTCTGTAACCCACATGATTTAGCCTAGCTCATAGTGAACTTACCACTAATTTTCCTCCTAACTTCCTTTTCTTCGGGAGAAGGTGTCCAGTTTGTGATTCCAGGAAGTTCCTAACCCAGAGAATGCCACAGCTCCCATCCTTCGAATCTTGTATTTTCACCCCAACACCCACAGCTCCCCAAGCCCTAACACACAACTCAGGCTAAAGCACTGGCCAGGGGCTTGGAAAATCTAGGAGCATCTGCAAGATAGACTCTTAGAGAGTCTTTCAGGGACCAGAGAGGTAAAGGATCTAGCCTTTCCACACTGCAAGGATGCTGTACTTGTCATACCTGAGACGGGGGTCTCCCTCATGCACAACAGAGCCCATCTCTGATCAAAGTGCCTCGACGGACTCTTCCTTCTCTATAGGGGCCTCTGGGACTTCTCAGGAGGGTCCTGCAAAATTGGAAAGGTGTCTCCCTGTCTTCTTGCTTTCTGGGTTTACCACCTTTGTTCGGGGACACTGAGGTGGAACATGGGCATCTGCATTGGATATCAGCTGAGGAACTTAACCCTGGGCTCCCTGGGGGAGAGTGGAGATTGGGTACTCGGGTGCCCAGCGTGTGGTGTTGGGGGTGTGTGTGATTTAAATGGCTCTGGAACTTGATGCTGTTACAGAAAACACCCAAGCTGCCAGGAAAACCGGGATCTTTTCACTGAAATTCACAAGGGCCATGGGAAAGGCTGTCATTGGCCAGGCTCCCAGGCCACCGGAACACGGGG